GGTCATGTCTGTCAAGAGTTCCGTTTTGGTGGACTTGATCAGAACGGATCCGAGGTAATCTGATGTAAACAGACACTACTCCTCTTAGACCTAACACGGGTCCATACAGCTCAGTTTTTTTTCTCTTTCCCAAGATCGAAGAAAAAACGGAATGGCCACTTCTGTCACAAAGGTGATGTCTGTTCTGCACTGTTTCAATCCGCAGAGGATCGGTGTACATATCCCTGCTGACTGGAACAGACGGTGCACGTAGACAGACGTTTGAAGCCCAACTCAAAATTGTCACTCTCCCCTCCCCCCCACATACATACCTTCTACCTTTTATCTTTAGTCCAGTCACCTGACATCACGGGTCTTTTTCCCCTATGATGGTGGGTGGTCCTGAGCGCTACAGAGAACCCTAATGATAATGGCACTAATTCCTGCAGCATTCTGCTGTGAACCCGGGGCCAGCTGGATGATGTACTCCTATTAGGTGGGACCTTCACACTCTGGGCTCACAGGAAGTGGGTTGAATGATGATGATGATGATGCCAACTTCAGATAGCACTTACAATAGTTTCAGTGATTTCAGTGCAAAGCTTAATTGTTTTAGAGGTGATCTACATGCAAAACTGATATGTCGGTATTTCTATCATTATTGTTGGGACAGATCATATATCGCACATATGTCCCTAATCGTATGTAACCCACTGGATGCATTTCGTTCATTTGCAAAGTGTGCTGACCACAGCTAATCGCCAGAACACCTATGCATACCCACCGCAAATTAAACTGACTCTGGGAGGCGCATGCTCCAAATCCTCCATGTGAATGAGCCCTATGGGACCAGTCTGTGAAGGTTCTTACAGATATACCTACGGGACCAGGTTTAACTGAAGAGTAGATACTGCTGGCGTCTCTTCCCATGACTTCACACTTTGCTTTGAATTGTACAACTTATTTATAACATGCAGGCCTCAGCGTGAAGCCTTCAGTGTCCCCCGGAGTGTTACCTATATAAGGCTTTGTGATTGGAGGAAAAGCTGGTCCCACAACTCTGACAGTTCACATGAATGAACTCTCCTCATCCCAACCTTTTCTCTCCCCATTAATTCAAATAAATGGGGGTCCCCAAGCTTCAGGGTCCCAAAGGTAAGCACTAAAAACATTTGTAAAGCACTACATGCTTGTAGAGAAACGCTGTGCTTTCCAAGTGCGCATATTTTTCTTTTTAAGCAGTATGACCCCAGTGAGGCCATACCATATAGCTGCTTTATAAATGAGCCACGAAGTGTACGGAATGTGGAGAAACCACCAAGATAGCAGTGAAGTCACAGAGATTATGCTTCACGCCTCAAATATTTGGCAAAACCTCTGTTCAAACACTTCCTTTATTCACACAAAAACCGAACAATCCTTCAACTATGCGTCTAGTAAACTGAAAGTGGGACACCGGCCAAAACAGGTTTATTTCTATCTCTAGACAGGAGAACAAAACATAACACCCATTCTGCTGACAACCATTAATAGGTGGGATTTCTCCTCACTTTGGGAGATTTCTTCTCACTTCCTGTACTTCTAGGACACAAAATGAAGTGAAATCTCCCCAGTGGGGACACGGACAGCTATGAAAACATGAGAGGTTCTAATCATTCTTTACTACAAGCATTTAGTCAAAAGTTTTACACTGTGGTTCAAGAGCAATGGTTCCCACATGGGACAGCTCAAAGGACACCCCACAGCCAATTTGTCCATACTACTGCTACCCGGGTGTTCCTACTATATTGGGGGCTAGCAGGATTGGGATCCTTAAATTAGTTCCTAGTAGGGGCCAATTCTACAAGTGTGTTCTCCACTGGGTTTCTAATCCACAAGTAACAAGTCTTATAAGAGCACAAACCCAATGCTCAGAGAGAATTCCATGGGATAGTTTATTGAAACTTGTACTACGTCATTGGTGTCCCACCCAGGGTCCGCCACCTCTAATGCATTTCAGGGGGTGGACCAGTGACGTGGTACATGTTTCAATAAACTATCCCCGTGGAAGCCGGTGTGCAACCAGCTTTTCTTCTGTTTGTATGGGCCCATATTGGAGGAAGTGCTCCCAGCGGCAAGCATCCGGCTCATTCCTTTCTTGAGCCATGGAGGAGTGGTGCTTCTTCTGTGTTGTTCTTGCAATGATCAGAGAGTCCACATAAATAGAATCTTATAGAAGCATACTAGGGTGACGTTAAACAGCCAATGCGTTTCAGGGGGGGCCCTGGCTCTCCCCCTTTATCACGACTTGGAATTTGCATTAGCTGAAAAGAAAGGCCCATGTAGATATTTAAAACTGACCAACTAGCCACATAGTGATTGTACTTGACAACTGTCATCATGGCTCTCTGTTCCAATAAATAACCCAAACAGATACCTTTCATTTCATGTTCATTAGAATTCCAAGCCCTGCTGAAGGGGGGAGTACTAGAGACCCCGAAACAACTTGGCCCAATGTTTCTAAGTATGGATTCGTCTCTTCGCCCCGTGTATGGATCGCCCCGTGTTCCCGGGAATGGATTCCTCCATTCGCACCATGTTCCCGGGTATGGATTCGTCCCTTCTCCCCATGTTCCCAGGTATGGATTCGTCCCGTGTTTGGATTCGTCCAGGGTATGGATTCGTCCCTTCCCCCTGTGTTCCCGGGTATGGATTCGTCCCTTCACCCCGTGTTCCCGGGTATGGATTCGTCCCTTCACCCCGTGTTCCCGGTTATGGATCGCCCCGTGTTCCCGGGTATGGATTCGTCCCTTCGCCCCGCGTTCCCGGGTATGGATTCGCCCCGTGTATGGATTCGTCCCTTCGCCCCGCGTTCCCGGGTATGGATTCGCCCCGTGTATGGATTCGTCCCTTCGCCCCGCGTTCCCGGGTATGGATTCGCCCCGTGTATGGATTCGTCCCTTCGCCCCGCGTTCCCGGGTATGGATTCGCCCCGTGTATGGATTCGTCCCTTCGCCCCGCGTTCCCGGGTATGGATTCGCCCCGTGTATGGATTCGTCCCTTCGCCCCGCGTTCCCGGGTATGGATTCGCCCCGTGTATGGATTCGTCCCTTCGCCCCGCGTTCCCGGGTATGGATTCGCCCCGTGTATGGATTCGTCCCTTCGCCCCGCGTTCCCGGGTATGGATTCGCCCCGTGTATGGATTCGTCCCTTCGCCCCGCGTTCCCGGGTATGGATTCGCCCCGTGTATGGATTCGTCCCTTCGCCCCGCGTTCCCGGGTATGGATTCGCCCCGTGTATGGATTCGTCCCTTCGCCCCGCGTTCCCGGGTATGGATTCGCCCCGTGTATGGATTCGTCCCTTCGCCCCGCGTTCCCGGGTATGGATTCGCCCCGTGTATGGATTCGTCCCTTCGCCCCGCGTTCCCGGGTATGGATTCGCCCCGTGTATGGATTCGTCCCTTCGCCCCGCGTTCCCGGGTATGGATTCGCCCCGTGTATGGATTCGTCCCTTCGCCCCGCGTTCCCGGGTATGGATTCGCCCCGTGTATGGATTCGTCCCTTCGCCCCGCGTTCCCGGGTATGGATTCGCCCCGTGTATGGATTCGTCCCTTCGCCCCGCGTTCCCGGGTATGGATTCGCCCCGTGTATGGATTCGTCCCTTCGCCCCGCGTTCCCGGGTATGGATTCGCCCCGTGTATGGATTCGTCCCTTCGCCCCGCGTTCCCGGGTATGGATTCGCCCCGTGTATGGATTCGTCCCTTCGCCCCGCGTTCCCGGGTATGGATTCGCCCCGTGTATGGATTCGTCCCTTCGCCCCGCGTTCCCGGGTATGGATTCGCCCCGTGTATGGATTCGTCCCTTCGCCCCGCGTTCCCGGGTATGGATTCGCCCCGTGTATGGATTCGTCCCTTCGCCCCGCGTTCCCGGGTATGGATTCGCCCCGTGTATGGATTCGTCCCTTCGCCCCGCGTTCCCGGGTATGGATTCGCCCCGTGTATGGATTCGTCCCTTCGCCCCGCGTTCCCGGGTATGGATTCGCCCCGTGTATGGATTCGTCCCTTCGCCCCGCGTTCCCGGGTATGGATTCGCCCCGTGTATGGATTCGTCCCTTCGCCCCGCGTTCCCGGGTATGGATTCGCCCCGTGTATGGATTCGTCCCTTCGCCCCGCGTTCCCGGGTATGGATTCGCCCCGTGTATGGATTCGTCCCTTCGCCCCGCGTTCCCGGGTATGGATTCGCCCCGTGTATGGATTCGTCCCTTCGCCCCGCGTTCCCGGGTATGGATTCGCCCCGTGTATGGATTCGTCCCTTCGCCCCGCGTTCCCGGGTATGGATTCGCCCCGTGTATGGATTCGTCCCTTCGCCCCGCGTTCCCGGGTATGGATTCGCCCCGTGTATGGATTCGTCCCTTCGCCCCGCGTTCCCGGGTATGGATTCGCCCCGTGTATGGATTCGTCCCTTCGCCCCGCGTTCCCGGGTATGGATTCGCCCCGTGTATGGATTCGTCCCTTCGCCCCGCGTTCCCGGGTATGGATTCGCCCCGTGTATGGATTCGTCCCTTCGCCCCGCGTTCCCGGGTATGGATTCGCCCCGTGTATGGATTCGTCCCTTCGCCCCGCGTTCCCGGGTATGGATTCGCCCCGTGTATGGATTCGTCCCTTCGCCCCGCGTTCCCGGGTATGGATTCGACCCCCCCGTGTTCCCGGGTATGGATTTGTCCCTTCACCCCGTGTTTCTAAGTATGGATTCGTCCCTTCACCTGGTATTTCTAAGTATGGATTCGTCCCTATACCTGGTGTTCTCAAGTAGAGATCTGCCTTACTATAGCCACTTTAACCACTTTCTTGCTACATACATACATACACACACACAACACACATAGATACAATCTACCTGCAATGGAACTACAACGGCCATCAGGCTCAGGCCACAGCCCCGTGTGTATTAACACCACTGACAGATGTTTGGGGGATTAGCCCTGTCACTGACTAGGCCCTGTCCTCGGCAAACCGCTGCGGCCTCGGGCCCTGCTCTTCTTACCTGGACTTGCCCACCCCACTCTCCCCAATGATGAGGATCTTGAGGGTGGTCAGTATATCTTCCTCCATCCTTCCGCCGCTCCGGCTCTGCGCAGCACAACACTGCGCGCTCCCCGCAACCTTCTACCCCTGCGCGCGCCCGTGAGCGGGCCTGTCTGGACTCTGAGGATGACAACAGCATGCGCGGGCCCGCAAACAGACGTCTCCTTCAGGCTTCGACTTCCCCTCTCGTGCGTGCGCGCCCCCGCCGATGACGACATCCCGAGTGCGTCACACCTTAGTTTCTATCTTGCGGCCTTCGTCTTCCGGGTTACTGGTTGAGAGGCTGACGCTAGGTGGCGCTGACGGCCCTTAGCACAAGAATGGAGAGTTTCATCGACAATACCTCACACATTTCCGCCCACCAGGTGTGATTCCAGTGAGTGACGTGGGATGAGGCAAAGGTGACGGTGCTGTAAAGAAATAATGCAATGATATCAGACAAGAGATTAGGCGGCTGGAAGTGACCCGGTTGTCTTAAAGTAGAACTCCAACCACAACTTTACATTCTAGAATTGGGTAGAGGTGAAGGGGGGGAGAGCTCAGGTGCGGATCTGCAGACGCGGTGCTATGTGTTTTGCCGCGTTTTTGTTGCGTTCCAGTTTAAAAAAAAAATATATATTTTTTTTTTTGCTGGAGTGGGGCTATCAGTATGTTAGCTGCAGTGCAGTGCATTTTTGACGCGTTTTGCGTTTCCTGACCGTACAAAATGTGACATGCAGTATTTTTTCTGTCGTAACCTGAACGGACCGCGCATGTGAGAACTGTAGCCCATAAAACACATAGGGATACATTGGGATGCATTTTTAGTGCAGGAGCGTACGTATCAGGTCGGCACAGATGACAGACGTCGTGTGAACAGGCCCTTAGCCTAAGAAGAGGCAAAGGTGACCACACGGAAATTAAATAATATAATGATATCAGAGCTGGATACACACCCTCTGCGCTGCATTGCTGCCCTTTAATGCACTTACGCTGACGTGTTTTATTCTAACCCTCCATGTTAATGTGTTTTTTTCCGAAAGCACTGCGTTCAAATGCAGCTTGTTTCCTTTTTTTTTTAACAGGTACATTTTATTGTTTTGAATATGTAAAAACAAACACAGGTACATACAAAATCAATACACAAGAAAAAAACAATACACACAAAGAAACAGTCCAATGGATGTTGCGTGAATGGGCCCTAAAATTGGCGCAAGGGACCCAAATGTCCCCAGTTAACAATAAAACTATTGTTTTTTATTAGTCTCATTTACACCACAATTGAGGTGCAGAAGAATGCAGCATGTCTGTGTTCCTCCGCAACTCACAGGGGCATAGCGTGGGCACCCGGAATGTCTTCCCCTGGAAGTATGGCAGCTCGCACCGCAGCAGTGAGGCGGATGGGAATGGGGAAGAAAGGAGGGCGGAGGTGAAGAGGCAGCCCCCCGCATACCACCTCCCTAGGCCTGATGAGCTCTTCCAAACTGTAAGCCGCCCGGCCTTCCTCTCCGCCCCTTCTAGCAACCCCATTAACAGAGAAGAGGAGCATCTGACCCCCTGAGGAGCTGGCCCTGGAGGGGGGATAGGAGGGGGACATGAATTATAGGAGAGGGACATTCTTCCTCTCACTGACACCAGCAATGGGACACTAGGGCACACTTCCTCCAACTGACACTACTAATGCTTGGACATTCCTCCTCCCACAGACACCACCAATGCTTGGACATTCCTCCTCCCACAGACACCACCAATGCTTGGGCATTCCTCCTCCCAGAGACACCACCAATGCTTGGACATTCCTCCTTCCACAGACACCACCAACGCTGGGACATTCCTCCTCCCACAGACACCACCAATGCTTGGGCATTCCTCCTCCCACAGACACCACCAATGCTTGGGCATTCCTCCTCCCACAGACACCACCAATGCTTGGACATTCCTCCTTCCACAGACACCACCAACGCTGGGACATTCCTCCCACAGACACCACCAACGCTGGGACATTCCTCCTCCCACAGACACCACCAATGCTTGGACATATCTCAAGTATTGTGGTCAAGCAAAACATTCACCATGGTGCACCACAACTTTTCCATCTTCAGTATGCTTCCAGGTCTGCCTCTCTGCATGGCCTCCATAGCTTCTAATGCAGGTAAAATTGTGTATTGAGGAAGTGTTATATTTCTGAAAGCGGGGGACATATGTTGCTGATCGCTAAAGCAGTCACGTGACACTCTGGCTTTTGAGTCCTCTATATTCTATCCTGCAAAGGAAGAAGTATCACATGTCCATGCGCAAAACCTGTTCCGAGTCTGAAAACAACACCTTGCACAACCATATTCTCACATTTTCCAGGAGCTTAGTTTAAGGCCGGTGGACATTTCCCAATAGTGACACTTTATAAATATTGAGAAATGTTGTTTTTTCCCCCACAATTGAAATAATACAGTGTGGCAACACCTTGCCATCAACTAATATTAAAGTGACATTAAGGGTTCGTTCACACCATAGGGCAGTGCGTTCCGGTCAGAATCGGACCGGAACGCATTTCCCGCATTGCGGCCGGCTCACTTTTTTGCTGGGCTGGAGGGTGCTTTGCGGGCCATTGAAGTGAATGGCACCGTAGCCACGCCCTGCGGCCGCAATGCGAATGCCTGCACGGGATCGCAAGGGACATTGTGCCTGCAGTGCAGTCTGGTGCGGTCTGGTGCGGTCGGTCAATGCAAGCATTGACCGAAACGCACTGCCCTATGGTGTGAACGAACCCTAAAGTCAAAAACTTTTTCCCCTCCCCCCGATGTTAATAAAAGCACTTACCTTAAATGATGTCTCTTAATCCGATCTTCCTCTTCTTTCCTGTCCTTTTCATCTGGCTCTCCAGCACTGCGGCGGGTCTCCGATCCAGCGCTGACTCCTCTGTCCTTGCTGGCACTTCCTGTCCCACAGTGTCTGCCTGCGGGTGCACGCGTCCATATACTTACCTTGTGTCGCTCCTCGTCTCCCGGCCAAAAATCCAAACTGCGCATGCGCCTGCCCCAAGATGCTTTGCGGCCGCCCGAGCATTTTCGGATTTTCGGACAGGAGCGCGCAGCGAAGACAGTGGTAAGTTTAAACCGCTTTTAAAGCGTTTTTTTTTTTTTTACTTTTTGCATATATCTTCTGCTTGCTAGCAGTAGATATTGTCACACGTCGGCTTGAACTATGAGGTTGAGTGAAAATCACTCACCTCATAGTTCTCCTTTAAGTAACTTAACTATTGACAAAAATGTATCTTATTTGTGTATCGCTCGGCTGTAGATCCTCAAATCATCTCTGAATTGGTGCTGACACTGTCCTTCCTTCTGCAGGGGGGATACTTTTGTTCCCCATGGTGCCTGTGTGTGTTGTAAAGTAGCCACCGCTCCAAGCGAGTACATTCAAATGTACTTGAATGCATTTTTAAGATTTAACTCCTGAGTTTAGTGTCACTTCAAGATGCGGCATAACTACATTGGTTGCAGTTATCCATAACATCTGCTTAGATTTAGTGGGGGACATTTATTAATTCTGCTACACGGTAAGGCCCCATTCACATGTAGCGACATACCTTTGCAGCGGCCGGGATAGTGCGACTTTCGGGGCGATGATCCAGCGACGGTAGCGCGACCTTCTCCGTCGGGCTCCATAGGAAAAAAGCAAAATCGCGCAAAATCCGCCGAAAAAAGGGTCCGGTAGAAGCGACTTGAGACCGCGACGAGCGACATGGAGCTAAGACAGCTCCATTGACTATCATTAGCCGGCGACTTCTCGTGATATCGCGCGGCAAAAATGCGCGCTATCGCGGCGGAAGCTGGCGATAAGTCGCTTAATGTGAACGGGGTCTTAGGCAGTGCTAAAGAAAACAATGAGACAGATTATGGGAAAGATTTATTACATCATTGCAGCTTGAGCCATACATTTCTCCCACTGCTGCCCCAATATAGCACTGCAACAAAAATAATTGTTTATGTGTGTTTTGAGTGAAAATATGATTCAGCTACAAACCTGCTTCAGGTCTTTACAAAACTGTCTCAGTTGGCTTAACAGGAGTACAGGCTCATTTACGGGCACATATACTTTGCTAAATGAGAAGCAGCCTGAGTTGCAACAGATGAGTGTCTAAATATGAAAAAAGAAAACAGTTTACCCAGAGTACCAGACCCAGAATTAATTAGAATAAATTAATTAATTAGTGACTCTCAAAGAAGACAACCCCCAGCTGCTTTTACAAGGCATAAATGGAAACAAGAGATAAACACAGATTGGTTAACTCAAAGTGCAGCTATTAAAGAGGGTCGGAGAGTCAAATTTAGTACAAATTTAGTTTAAATGGTTAAAAAATGAATGAACAATATTATTGCACCACTTAAAACTACACCCATGATAAATCTAAAAAGTTTTTTTGGTTATTGCAACAACCCATTCACTCTAAACAAACAAACATTCACTCTGTGGACAAGCTGATGTAAATCTTAAATAATGCCGGATAATCCTGAAAGGAGACATAGCTCCAACTTAGATTGTTGTCTAAGTATGACTCGGTGGATTTCTCTTTTTAGCCACTTGGGGCCTGATTTGGGTCTCCTCAGTAAATCTGATGAGGTTCAGTTTTCTCAGGCTGGTATTGTAGCCGATCAAATGACACACATGTAGCTTTTACTCCCTATTTAGAGCTGTCAACATTTTGGATGGAACGCTTGATTGAAGAGAAAATCCTAATAATTCTGGGACTTAAATTGTGGACCGGTGAATCATGGAGTATGGTGTCACCCTGAGTTATAAACACACATGGAAGAAAAGATCGACCAGATAGTGTGTAATGTCTCGAATATGTCTGTACTCACGGGTGCTTGACTCCTTCACCGGACAGTCCGATTCAGAATAAAATATCTCTGTAACATGCTCCTCCTATGAATCCTCTTCAGTGTTGATTAGGTAGCTCTCTTGAAGGGAAAGGAACAAGTTTTAAATTTACATAGAGAAACATTTCACACAAAAATGGGGCATGATAATTTCTAGTTTACATATTTTTTTTGACCTAATAACTAGGATATATTGGAGATTACCAAATTCACAAGCCTCTTCTAGGAAATCGAAGGTTAAGGTTTCCGGAAGATTAAATAGCAAGTTAATG